GTCTAGGCCCGAAATGTCAGCCTTCCTGCTCCTCTGATGGTGCTTGGCCTGCTGTGTTCATCCAGTTCTACACCTTATTACCTCAGATTCTCCAGCATCTGCAGTTCCTACTATCTCTGGAGAAATCAAACAGTCTAGTTTGCAGAATGGACAGCATCATCTATATCAATTGTAAAGCCTGACGGGTCGGCTCACCGTGGTAAGAAGTAAGTGCCGCCCATAGCGAGTGTCACAAGGCAATGCCACCCATAGCTTTAGGTTGAATTCAACAGTGGCCTCTAATACCAAGTGTGTACAAGTACAAGTTGGAACACCTTCTGGGATTTTAAACTAATGGTGAACTGCTTTTTACAGCTGGATAAATACCCAATCCCTCGCATAGAGGATTTATACACAAACCTGGCAGCGGACTGTCCTTTATGAAGCAGGACATGAGCCATGAGTACTTGCAATTGCGGTTAGATGAGGATTCCCAGAAGTATGCTACAATTAACACCCATAAGGGTTTGTACCAAAAACGAGATTACCATTTGAGGTATCAGCCTGTCCAATTTTTCAGCAGACAATGAAGAATGTTTTACCCCAGGTCACCATTTATCTAGATGACAAATTAATAACAGAAAAGACCAATAAGGAGCATTGAGAGAATTTGGACAAAGTCCTTAGACATTTCTCCCAGCCAGGCATACACCTTAGAAGGCAAAAATGTGTGCTCCAAGCAGCCCAAGTGACCTACTTGGGCTACAGAGTCAACAAGACCAGATTACACACACTAGAAGACAAAGTGAGGGCAATCAAAGGTGCCCCGGCTCCCACCTCCATACCAGAGATTAGGTCTTTCCTTGGGCTGGTGAACTATTATGGAAAGTTCATACATAACCTGCCCTCCATTCCTGGTACCTTTGCATTAACTCTTCCAAAAAAACAAAAAAAAGGGTCAGTCTTGAAAATGGTTGCACATGCAATCCAAAGCTGTTTCTTTAGTTCCCTGAAAACTTTCATTCTGTAAGGTGTTAGTACACTATGATCCCAAGTGAGATCTAGTATTGACATGCAATGCCTCCTTGCATGGCATCGGGGTAGCATTGACTCATAGGTGGCCCAATGGACAGGAATGCCATGGTATATGCATCCAGGACTTTGACTAATGCAGAGTGTAAATACGCCCATATAGAGAAGGAAGGTTCGGCAATCATATTTGAACTCAGGAAGTTCCACCAGTACCTTCAGGGATGTAAATTTGTAATAACGGACCACAAACCCTGCCATGTCTACTTAAATAGGACAAGGCAGTGCTGCCCATAGCTTTAAACTGAATTCAACAGTAGGTTCCAGCACTGAGTGCGTATAATTATAAGTTGGAACACCATCCAGGAAGCCAAGTAGCAAATGCGGATGCGTTGAGCTGCCTCCTGCTGGCAGATACACCAATGGTACCATCACTGGAACAGTCTAAGTGTTTTAAATTTTCTGGAGACACTTCCAGTCACAACTGACAATATCCACCTCTGAAGGCAGCAAGATCCAGTCCTGGCAATATTGAAACAGCTGGTGATGGAGAAAACCAAAGGGCCGTCACAACCAGAATTGAAACGTTTTTTGGACCCGGAGAGATCAGATCACAGTAGAAGTTGGCATTTTATTATGGGGAGCAAGAGTGATTGTCCCAAGCAAAGGTTGGTTCAGACACTGGCTGAACTCTACCAGCATCATGCAGGGATTTCCAAAACAAATATGTTGGCAAAGTTATGTCTGGTGGCCAGGATTGGATGCAGACATAGCTGCATTAGTAGGGCAGTGCACAAAGTGCCAAAGATAAACATTACTGCCAGCAGCACCCCCACATTCGTGGCAATGACAGATTAAACCTTGGACTTGGTTACATGTCGACTATGCAGGTCCTTTCATGGACTCAATGTTCTTAGTCACTGTGGACATCCACTGAAAGTGGCTAGATGTGCATAGACTCAATTTGTCAAACACGGAGACAACGATAGAAAAACTGCACTAATCTTTTGCAATACATGGGCTTCTGAAAGTGTTGGTCACAGATAACAAGTCAGCAGGGAATGTGATGATTTCCTGAAGTTGAATGGTATTCAACAAACAAGGTCAGCTCCCAACCATCAGTCATCTAATGATCTGACAGAAACAGTCAAAGCAGGCTTAAAGAAAGAGCCAACAGCTTCGCTAGCTACCAAACTGACTCGGTTCCTATTTGATTATAGCACCACCCATCATGGAACTACAGGGATAGCTCCAACAGAGTCAATAATGGGGAAAAGACACCACACCAGTTTGAATCTGATGGGCATGGCAGATGTTGCTGCCTCAGCACCTTTGCCACCTGAAGAAGAGAATTAATTTCTTCCAAAGTGCTCAGGGCACAAGAGGCGAGCTACTGCGCATTTCACACCACCTGTATCAGAGACAGAATTTGTGGAACCTGGCTCTGTGCTAAAGCACCCGAAAGAGCTGCAAGGAGCTACATCCTTGGACTCACAGGGGAGGGATATAGCGATTATAATGGGGTCAGCAAGAGGACCTCAGAATGAGTCCAATTAAGAAGCCCTCGTTGACAGATAACAAGCGTCAGCCAGGCTGGCCATAAACAGGTCCAGGCAGTGGGCCACGGAGGGGGTCATTTCAGCCTACTGTCTGCCCCTCTTCCACAGCTACGTTCAAGCCCGGGTGTCCCTGAAGAGGGAGCAGTGTTCACCAATGCTTTCAATGCCTTTAGAGAAAGGTCAGCACTGCGGGGGATGGGGTGCTTTATTTCCCCCTCCAGTTTTATTTTGATTTGATCTCTACCCTCCCCCTTCACTTTGTTTTTAACATAAGCATTGCTCCTACCAGGCTTTGCTTGGTACTGGCTCCCTAGCCACATTGGTGTTTTTTCCTGGTGGTGGAAATGTTGAATAAAATTGTTTTGCACCTGGTGTTTTCACGGAGTCCCTGCACTTACACGCGCACAAAACATGGGTGCTGTGGGGAAAATAAGCACTACTGCTGTAGTGTCAGGTTTTAAAGAAGAAAAAGATATAAACAGGAGGGAAAAAAAAGAACAGGATTATCAGGGGCTCTGTTCACTCAGAGGTGGCTCTGAGGCAGCTGAATCAGTGTCAAGGACTCTCCTCACGTAGATAAAGGGTGACTTGATGCCAGGACTCTGGCTTCTGTAGAGTTATTTCAGTTCAAGACAGATTGATAGATTTCTAGTCACTAATGACATCAAGCAATATGGGGATAATGCCCTATTCCCACATGGAGGTAGATAAAAAGCAGCATCTAAAATAGTGGAGCACACTTAAGGGACTAAATGGTCTACTGTTTCTATTCATAAATCAGCATCAGACAATAAGTTTGACAAGACAGGATTTGTGAAGATGTTGAGAACGCTTGAATGGCCTACTCCTGTTGAGAGAGCTGGTAACAAACAGCAGACAAGAGGAACTGGATATTATACCTTCAGATTAAACAGAAATAGAAAGTAGTGGAAATATTCAGCAGGTTTGGCTCCGTGTTGAGAGAAACACAAGCTCTTGAAAGTTCACTGCCCTGAAATGTTAACGCAGTTTTTCTCCGAAGATGCTGCCAGTCCTGTTGAATATTTTATTGTTTTAATACTTCTCTGACTCGAGCTTTTTGTTTGTTTTATAACAATATGGATGCTTGCATTTTGAGACTTTCTACAGTTAGAATGACCAAAATCAATTCAAATTTGATTCCAAATTAAACAGTGTACATCTGAGTAGGGATTCACATATTAAAAGACATGTCTTTAATGTTTGCAGCACAGGGGACCAATACATAATTAATTCACATCCCATTCATAAAATTACTTTTTATTCAAAGAAATCTGCAAACAAAGACCATTTGAGAAATGATAATTGGTAAACTCCACATTTTCAAGATCAAATATTGCTAAATTCATTATTTCGCCTTTACACGTACTTCCAAGTCTCCTCATAAAAATTGAACTGAAAGAGTTTTCTTACTTCACAGCTTCTTTGTATTTTGATGGCAATCCTGTAAAACGATTGATGGGTTTCAATAACTGCCCCACTCCTCTTGTGCCCAGGCCTGCATATTTGCATATGTACTCTTTTTTCCAGAATCCTGTGGGATAGTCGTGTATTGAAATTCTGCTTAGTTTCTCAGTAGCTATGTCTACACCCTTGGGCTTCCAGGCCTTTCGCTTATATGTGAAATACCTGCAGTAGATTCTATGCCAAATTAAACTAGAAAAAGATACAAACGTAAAACAACGTATATTTATTATTCCTCGTTCATATTTTAAAGGGCAGGTTTTTAAATAAATGTCAATTCAATTTAACTAATATTTGAAAATGAATATGGCAAAATAAGGCATAATGACCTCAAAATTACACTGAGCTGTTCATATATAAAAGCTTGAATGATATTGATAAAACTCTTTGTGCTGCCTCAGAGACATTAGTCTATTTACATTAAGTAGCAAAGAGGATTTACAATGAAAATAAAGCTTCAGAGTGCCCAGCGGTGTAATTTCAGGCCTCAACTGACTATACTAACAAACAGGCATAATTCTTCCTTTCTCAAACAAAATCGAAAAGTCAATTTTGGTACTTTTCCCAACATCCTTGTGTTATTCTAGACTCTTTCCCTTTCCTCTACATTTTCTGCCTCCGCATTCAGTTGCCCCTCCAACCCTCAAACCATGTTTATCTGTGTGCAATCCAAACCAAAAAAAAATCAACATGCAAATAATGCCCTTGATTTCCCTATGAGCCTCTAAATAGCAATAACTCCAAAATAAACTATACTTCAGATTTCATTTAAATAAATTGATGAACTTCAGTACTGCAGTCTGCTTAAAATGTACGATATACGATTTTGTATTTAAATTAAATGATTGCTCCAATCACATTAAGCAATGCTTCAAGAATCTTAATCAGCAGAAAATACTTCTAGTTAGTTCACTTACTTGTCATTAGCTACCTGGTAGAAGGACTTGCTGACACAGCCTGCACACAACAAGGATGATATATCCAAGTAGGAAAAGATTTGCAGTAGAACTTCCCATGGTAAGCTAGAAGTAATTTTCATATTGTTATGTTGTAGAATGACATGAATTATTTAGGAAAATCCAATACAGACCCTTATTTGGATGAAAAAGAATATACTAAATAACACTTAAAGGCAAAGTAAACAAAAGTCCTCCGTTAGCATTGAAAAAAGGAACAACCTATGTTTCTAATGAGAATTAGAAAATTGACAAAAATGTTGGAGATATTCATAAATTTATTTTCTTACCACATTGGAGATAGGATTCAAAACGCTTTAAACTTTCTTTTTTAAAAAGATATTCACCATAATTCCAAATCTGCAAAATGAACTGCTTTGGCTTTGCGCCCCTTTTAGCAATACTTAAGCTTTATACAACCAAGCAATCATTTGTAAGGTGCTTTGAAACAAGTCTGATCACAGCTAAAGTAGACAATGCTCTCGCAACACATGCTCTGGCAATCAATAAGACTATGGCTGAACCTCTGCATCAACTCCATTTCCTCACCTAATCCCCATATGCCATGATAACCTTTTGGACACTAAAGTTATCAGGTGTCAGCAGACTAAGTACCCACAACTCTCTAGGGTAGAGGAATCCAAGGATTCACAGATCTCTCAATTATAACATTTCACCTCATCTGTTCCAAAAGTGATCATTTAGGCAAGTTGAGGTTAAAAAAAATTGGTACAATCTGATTAAATGACAAAGAAGGTTTGAGGGATCAGATAACCTAATCTTACTTCTACTTTTTATGTTCTTGAATCCATTGTCATGCATGGGGACTCAGTTCTAGACTCATCAGCCAGAACTTTATATTTCAAAAGCAGTTAGAGAACTATGCAAGCAGGTGGACAGGTAATGAAGCATCACTGACTCAAGAAACATCAAGAAAAATAGGGAAAAAAAATTAGAATTAAAGCATCATACTTGCATGTGTGATGCATTCATAAAATAGTATCATTTACACTACAGGAAGCCTTTCAGCTCACTGAACCCATGCCAGCACAATATGAGAAAGCCGGAGGTCTCCAATCCTCCACTATCTCTGAGCCCTTCAAGTCTACTTTCTTCATTAACAATCCCATTTCCTTTTAAAATCAATCATCCATGATTCCACTACCTTGTAAACAGGTCGCTACAAACTATTATCACTCACTGTACAAAAACTTCCTTCTCACATTTTCCCCTGCACCTCTTGCACAAAATCTTAAATCCATGTCCCTTAGTCATTGCAACATTGGTTAATCAGAACACTTTTTCTTCCTCTGGCTTATCTAAATCTGCCTTCACCTCGTACACTACTGTCAAATCTCCCTTCAAACTTCTTTGCTCAAAAGAGAATGACCCTAACTTCCTCAACCTAGCTTTGTGGCGACAATTACCTCATTCCTGGAACAATTTCAGTAAGTTCCACCGCACCTTCTCAAGGACCAATACCCTTCCCAAAAGGTGCTGACCAGAAATGGGCAGATTTCTCTAGCTGGATTTTATTCAAAACTTGAGGGGTTCGCTCTAACTTCCTGGCTTTTATAATTAACATATCAGGTGTTGCTGTCACTCCATTCTCTTCAGAACTGTTCCATGAATTCTATGGCCCTGATATTAGTCAAGACAGACAGCATCTCCACCATATTGAAAATACAAAAACAGAACACTGAATGCCAAGCTCTTTTGACAAGCACAGCTTCTCAATTTTCCAAAGGACAGGTGCAGGGCAGTCCATATTTCATACTTGCATTGTTCCCAGAGCCACTTAAATGACTAACTGTCTCCAGCGAAATGGGATTTAGGAATCCCTCGATTGTGGAAAACAGAGTGCAGAATTTAGTCCCAATACTGGCAGGTCTATGGCCATTGTATTTCACTTCTAAGAATTGATGTAATGCTGTTGATATGGTACCAGGAAACCTGGGGCTGGGAGGGTGTCCACTATCTTTTGAGCACAGGGGTCAACGCTTTGGGACTGTTAACTTCTGGAAAAACTGCTTAAATCGTGCATAAACCCTTCAAACTGGCCCACCTAGAAAGACCTGTCAAGACATTTTGAGTATATGTATTTATGAATGACATGGCTTTTCTCAACAGCATAGTCTGAAATATAAAATGTTAACAGAATTGCTTTGTTATTTTACACACACGAATACTTGTGGATTTTCTTTTCAATCGTTCATGGGATGCAGCCCATTCTAACTGCACTAGAAAAATTGGTGATCTGCCTTCTTGAACAGCTACAACCTTTGGGCGTACGAACACCTACAGTGCATTTAGGGAGGGAGTTCCAGGAGTTTGATCCTGTAACAGCAAGGAAACAGTGATATAGTCAGGTTTGGAGAGGAACTTGCAGGTAGTGGTATTTCCACTGCCCTTGACCTTCTAAGTAATAGAATTAACAGGTCTGGAAGAAGCCTTAGTGAGTTGCTTGCAGTACATAGGCATAGGTGGTTCATAGTTAAGAGGGCACATGTTAACATGACAGAACATAGGATGTAGTTGTAAGGGGGTGCAAGCAGGACAGAGGTCTTATGTTTTTATCTTTATTTTTGAACTTTGAACAGAGTCCAAGCTACCTGAGAAACAGGGCAGCTTCTTAAGGTCCTTCCCATGCTGCCTGACCCAGCTCCTAAGTCCAGCATACTTGCCCTGGCCAAAAATCCAAAGTGCAAGTAGCCTAAAGCAGATGAACTCAGGGCATGTACTGGAACAAGAGACTGGGATATCACAGCTATTACAGAAACATGGCTGAGGGAGGGACAGGACTGGCAGCTCAATGTTCAGGGGTATAGATACTGTAGGAAGGATAGATGGGGAGGCAAGAGATGGGGAGTGGCATTTTTGATTACGGAAAACACCATGGCAGTGCTTAGGATGTTCCTGGAGGATCGTCCAATAAGGCTATACGGGTCAACTGAGAAATAAGAAGGGGGTGATCACCGATGGGATTGTACAATAGGTCCCTAATAGTCAGCAAGAAATTGAGGAGCAAGTATGTACAGAGATCTCAGCTACCTGTCAGAATAAAACGATTGTAAGAGTAGCAGACTTTAATTTTCCACACATAGACCGGGACCGCCATAGTGTTAATGGATGGTGAGGAATTTGTTAAGTCGGCACAAGAAAACTTTCAATCAATATGCAGACGGCGCAAAACTCAACCTTCTTGGGAAATAAGGCGGGGCAAGTGACTCAGGTGTTACTGGAGGAGCATTTTGGGATCAGTGACCATAATTTTACTGGTTTTAAAATAGTTTTGGAAAAGGATAGGTCTGGTCCACAAGTTAAAGTGTTAAATTAGATCAAGGCCAATTTTGATGGTATTAGACAGGAACTTTCAAAAGTTGATTGAGGGAGGCTGTTCAAAGTACAAAATAATAACAAGGGAGATACTTCACGTCTTGTGTAATTATAAGTGAGACAATGCAGGTACAAAATGGACACCTTTACATTACCTAAACTCTTATTCAGTTAGAACGAAAAGCAATACACACTAATAAAAACAAAAGTTTTCAAGCTAATTATTTATAGTGGCTTTTGCTAGACCATAGACAATAAATGAATATGGGAGATCCTCAAAACCGTTATCCCAGAACCTCTCAATCAATAGTAGGGAAAAAAAAAATCACCTGCTAATTTCATCTAAGTGGATTAAAGTATTAATGAAAACTAATACATTTGAGAACTCTAACATATTGGAGAGAAAAGAGAAACTCTGCAAGAACTTAATGTTACTACTGGTCTTACTAACCTCTCAATGGTGATCAGATTTGCAGATCTCAATTTACAGCCTTTAGCTCGACCTAAATGTATGGTCCTGGAGGACAGACTCGAATTCCATTTATATCCAAAACTGAAACATGCAGCAATAAGTAATTTAAAGTGTGAAAAATAATTGTTCCCTCATAAAAATATCGTCCTTAGAGTTCGAATATGCAGCAGCACTTACGTCAATCAATCGCAATCAAGAAATATACATACTATTTTGCTGAAAGTCTGAAAATGAATTCAGTATCCTTCCAGCAAGTTAAATTTCACCACGATAGTGCTTTTAAAAACACTTTTGAATGGTTAAGAAGCTAAAGAGCATCGAACAATTGTTCACAGCCTGAACACACAAATTGTGAAGGAACCATTGCAAACGCTGAAAACTCAATGCATCAGCAAATGTTGGAAATGCACAATGGCCGAAAAGCTAAAAATGTTGCACAACAAAAGTTCATGAGGTCTGTAACTTAATTGCTTTTCCTCTGCTAATAAAACATCGTGGATGCTAATGCACCAGCAATATTAAGGCTAACAGCAGTAAATGATGCAAGTGAGGCTCTGCTTACATACATGGGCTAGGTAGCATGATTGGAGATTTGACTGTGCAACATGTATTGATTGTGAATTATGAGGTGGATTGCACTGGTACAGCCAGGCTATGAATCGTGCGGTAGACAGTATCATTGTAGTCATCGTCGTACAATACAGTCTGGGCTGTACCATTGCTGCTGTTGCCCTCCTCCAGGGACCTCACCTAACTGCGGTGCACTGCCTGGGCCGTTGGCTCCAACCACCACCTGTTGCCATGGAAACCGGCAAGACGCGGGGTGCCTATACGGGGATTACAGTGGCTTTTGAACAAAATAAGGAAATAAAATCGACCAACAGGCTGTTCAGTGTCGATATACAAAACGTTTGAAAAGAGTGAGGTCCTCCGAGACTCCCCCAGGAGTGGGAACGAGACGGAACATCGACGACCATCACCCACACCGCCGTGGAACAGCGTTACCAATGGTTGCCGGTCACCTCTACTAATGAGAGCTCGGCAATCACCAGACAGCCAATAGTAACCGGGGGGCGGGATTTAGCATGGAGGGGCTTCCCAAAGCTTGCCCAATTAAAGGGCCACCCTCTCGAGCATGTTTGAAAGAGGTGCTTTCTCAAACGGTTCTCCTTTTGTCATTGTGACCTCACAGAGTTTTGAGGCTGTGGAGTGCACACAGTGGGCGGAACGTCATAGGGCCCTGAACGAAATAACACGTGGAGGGAAATCTAGAAGAATGTCGTCAGAAGTCAGACCTGAGATAACAAGGTGTAGAGCTGGATGAACACAGCAGGCCAAGCAGCGTCAGAGGAGCAGGAAAGCTGACGCTTCGGGTCTGGACCCTTCTTCAGAAATCTAGGCCCGAAACGTCAGCCTTCCCGCTCCTCTGACGCTGCTTGGCCTGCTGTGTTCATCCAGCTCTACACCTTGTTATCTCAGATTCACCAGCATCTGCAGTTCCTACTATCTATGAAAGTCAGAATGTTCCCTGGCGACTCCAGCTTGCTGCTATCTTAGACACCAGGTAATTACCTCTAAGGACATGCGAGACAACAAGGTGCAGGGCTGGATGAACACAGCAGGCCAAGCAGCATCATAGGAGCAGAAAGGTCTAAGGACATGCTCCTGGCTAGTGGCTGCATGTACCCTATGTCCATGGACGTTGGGCGTCCACAATCCCCCAAGACCCCCAGTCTATCATGTGGAATTTTGTTGAAGGTTCTGCCTTTATCAGTCATCTTTGTCACCTCTTCAAGTTTGTGAGACACGATTTCCCACTCACAAAGCCAAACCCTAATCAGTCCTTGCCTTTCCAAATGCATATAAATCCTGTCCCTCAGAATCCCCTCCAACAACTTACCCACCGCTGACATCAGGCTCACCAGTCTATAGTTCCCTGGGTTTTTTTCTTTACCACCTTTCTTAAATAATGGCAGCATATTAGCCCCCTCCAGTCTTCCGGCACTTCATCCGTGACTGTTGATGATACATATATCTAAAAGCAAGGGTCCAGCAATCTCTTACCTAGCTTCCTGCAAAGTTCTGCGAAACACTTGATTAAGTCCTGGAGATTTACCTACCTTTATGCATTCTAAAACCTCCAGCACTTCCTCTTCTGCAATATGGACACTTTTTTTTCAAAACATCAATATTTATTTCCCCAAGTTCCCTAGATGAAAGTGGATGGAACAACATTTGTTGCTGGCGCTGGTACTGGTGCAGGTAGGGTGAAAGGTGATGAACTGTTCTGATTGAGTGAGTAGGCATTGCAGAGACAATGCAGGGTTCATCATGTAGTGTTCAGGTGGGTAAGAGAAAATGAGAGAAGGTGCTGTATACAGTAATGAAGTTGGTAGAGCATGAACCTTGTTGGGAGGTGTTGCAGTAGCATGGCTAGAATGAATGTGAACTAGCATAGAGAAGATAATGGACGTTTACCGTAGTGGAGCCGAGAAGTTTGTTGACTCTGTTCCTGAATTCCTGGACATCTCCCCCAACTGTGGGGACCACACAGATACTAATTGTGTTTTTGGAAGGGTCTGGTGTTTTGGCCTCCTCCACTGGTTATGGGAAAGAGGACATCCCTCCTCTGCACCACATTGTCCACCAGAATGTCCAGGTCCCTTTCCGCAAGGTGGGCGTCAGAAGTAGTCAGACCAGGTAAGGATAGCTAATTTCCTTTTTGAAGGACAAATTTTGCCTTCTGAATGAGTGATTGCAGTCACTTTTCCCAATTTCTGGCTGCACTTCCTTTCCATGCTTCTAACAAAGAACAGTGCAGCACAGGAACAGGCCCATTGGCTCCTCAAGCCTGCTTTGCCACATTTTGCCCATCTGTACTAAAAATGTCTTTGCCTACAGGATCCGTACCCCTATTTCCTTTCCTATTCACATATTCATCCAGGTGCTTCTAGAAAAAAAAACCAAAAGAACTGCGGATGCTGTAAATCAGGAACAAAAACAAAGTTACTGGAAAAGCACAGCAGGTCTGGCAGCATGTGTGGAGGAGAAAGCAGAGTTAACGTTTCGGGTCCGGTGACCCTTCCTCAGAACTGATGGTGGCTGGGAAAACGTCAGTTTATATGCAGAAAATAGGGAGGTGGGTGGAGTAGGGAGTAAACGTTAGGACAGAGCCCAAAGAGAGAGAAAGACAGTTGGACAGACAAATGAGTTGCTAACAATCAGGCTGGGAGGGTGAGTAGTTGTTAATGGGGACTGTTAGTGACTAACAACAGGGGGTGTGTAGTGGCAGGCTATGTGGTAACAAGGCCTGGTGTGTGGGGTGGGGGACTGGGATATGGGAAAGTTTAGGCCTTAAAATTATTGAACTCAATATTGAGTACGGAGGGGTGTAGGGTCCCCAAGCGGAAAATGAGGTATTGTTACTCCAGCTTGCGTTGGGCTTCACTGGAACACTGTAGCAAGCCGGAGACAGAGATGTTGGCCAGGGAGCAAGGTGGTGCATTGAAGTGGCAGGCAACAGGTAATTCAGGGTCTTTTTTGTGAGCAGAACGTAGATGTTCTGCGAAGCGGTCACCAAGTCTATGCTTCGTTTCCCCAATGAAGAGGAGCCCACATTGTGAGCAGCGAATGCAGTAGACTAGATTCTTGGAAGTGCAGGTGAAGTGTTGCTTTACCTGAAAGGTACGTTTGGACCCTTGGATTCTGGGGAGGGAGGAGGTAAATGCGCAGGTGTTGCACCTTCGCCGGGTACAGGGGAAGGTGCCGTAGGGCTGTGGGGAGGTATTGGCGGTGAAGGAAGTGTGGACCAGAGCGTCCCAGAGGGAACGGTCCCTGCGGAAGGCGGATAAGGGAGGGGAGGGGAATACGTGTCTGGTGGTGGCATCTTGCTGGAGGTGGCAGAAATGGCGTCTGATGATCTTCTGGATGTGGATGCTGGTGGGATGGTAGGTGAGGATAAGTGGAACCCTATCGCTGTAGCAGGAGGGAAGAGAAGGGGTGAGGGCAGAAGTGCGGGAGATGGGTCGGACCCGATTGAGGGCCCTGTCGACAACGGAGCTGGGGAATCCTCAGTTGAGGAAGAATGTGGACATTTCGGAGGCTCCCTTGTCGAAGTTGGCCTCATCTGAACATTGCGACGGAGACGGAGGAACTGAGAGAATGGGATGGAGTCTTTACAGGAAGTGGGGTGTGAGGATGTATGGTCCAGGTAGCTGTGGGAGTCGGTGGGTTTGTCATGGATATTAGTGGCCAGTCTATCCCCAGAAATGGAAGGTGCAGGTTCTTCTAGAATGCTGCTATTGTGTCTGCTTCTATCACCTCTAGCAATGTGTTCCAGGCACTCACCACCCTTTGTGTGAAAAACTTGCCTCACACATCTCTTTTAAATGTCCCCTCTCACCACCTTGAACCTGTGTCGCCTAGTAATTGACCCTCCATCGTGGGAAAATGCCTCATATTTTCCATTCTATCCATGCCATTCACAATCTTATAAACCTCTCTTAGGTCGCCCCTCAACCCTCCTGCGTTCTAGCAAAAACAAACCCAGTCTAGTCAGCCTTTCTTCATAATTAAAATTACCCCATACTAGGCAACATCCTGGTAAACTTTTCTGTACCCTCTCCAAACATCACATTCATCTGGTAGTGTGGTGACCAGAACTGTTCACAATATTCCAAGTGTGGTCCGACTAAAGTTCTATAAAGCTGCAGCGTAACCTGTCTATCCTTATACTTAAAGCCCCTTCCAATAAAGGCAAGAATGCCAGAAGCCTTTTTAACTACCTTATCAACCTGTACCGCCACCTTCAGTGATCTGTGGACCTGCACACCCAGATCTGTCTGCATGTCAATACTCCTAAGGGTTCTGCCATTCACTGTATAATTTCCACCTATACTTGACCTTCCAAAATGCATCACCTCACATTTGTCCAGATTAAACACCATCTGCCATTTTTCTGCCCGTGCCTCCAACTGATCTATATTCTACTGTATCCTCTGACAGTCCTCCTCATTGTCCACAATTCCACCAATCTTTATATCATCCGCAAACTTACGAATTGGACCAGCCACGTTTTCTTCCAAACCATTTCTGGGCAGCATGGTGGCACAGTGGTTAGCACTGCTGCCTCACAGTGCCAGGGATCTGGGTTCGATTCCAGCCTCGGGCAACTGTCTGTGTGGAGTTTACACATTCTCCCCGTGTCTGCATGGGTTTCCTCCAGGTACTCTGGTTTCCTCCCACAGTCCAAAGATGTGCAGGTTAGGTGGATTGGCCATGCTAAATTGCCCATAGTGTTCAGGGAGGTGTAGATTAGGTGGATTGGTCTGGGTGGGATGCTCTGAGGTTCGGTGTGGATTTGTTGGGCCAAAGGGCCTGTTTCCACACTAGGGATTCGTTGATTTCAAACAGAAGCGGTCCCAGCACTGATACTGCACAACCCTCCATTCCAAAAAGCATCCTTCCACTGCTACCCTGTGTTTCCTATGACAAAGCCAGTTCTGTATCAATCTTAGATAGTAGGAACTGCAGATGCTGGAGAATCCGAGACAA